TTACTTACTCCAGTGACTAAGGGCGGGCTAAAGATAATTTTCCTGCAGCTCAACCATTAACCGATTTGCATCCTTGTTTCATAACTTCTTCAAACACATGTTATAATGTGCATCAATGTAAACAATGCGATCATTAAGAACCTAATCTGAGATTTTAAGGTATCGAGGTAACACAGATGAATAAGTGTATTGATGAGAAATTATTTTAATTATTTATTTGTGAATTAGTGAAAACATTGTATTGTTACATTTTTTGCTGTATTTTTATAATTAAGAGTATGATTCACATTAAAATAATTCAGAAAGTCGATATATCGTCTTATCACAACTACCCGACGGCAAATGATAATTTTGCCAAGTATCTTTTCACATGAAATAATACTTGTTTTATAGGTGTAGTTCGGATAGAAACCTAAATCAATAGCTTAAGGAATGTTATTATTTATTTTTAAGGCACCGTTTGCCGAAAAGAAAACAAAAGTACCCTTATCACTGAAGAGTAAAATATATGGTAAATAATTCTAATTTGTTGTTGAGTAATTGATGGAAACGTTTATCTTACTTTTTTATTTAAGTTTCACTACCGTCACACCTGATACACCAATTACTGATTCTACGCTAATAACTTGCAACAGGCTTCAAGTAGGTAGGTTACCGATTAATGTATGTATAGAACATTAAATATTTATCAATAACAGATACCACAACACTTGTTTAATTTATATTGATTTCAATTATTATTATATTAAAATGAATTAATACAATCTAGCTTAAAAGCACCTCCCTACGGCCATGAGGTGGAAGTGATAGCAAAGACAAATAATATTATCAGTAACTAGTAATCAAAGGTAATTCATTGATTGTTTCAAAGTAAAGCTGATAACGTGTTATTAGTCAACGAGTGGGTTAAGACACCGAGTGTTAGATAAGTTGAATGTTTTGGTGAGAGTCCTGCGCGGTGCGCTGCAAAGCAATTGATGTGATCGTACCGTCGCAGTGCCTGCAGCGCTTGGGCTCCGGGGGTGCGAGCTCGTCGCCGAGTTCGCGGTGTCGTACCGGCATGGCGGCGCATCCCGCGCCGGCGCCGCCACCACCCGTGTGTCAATACGAGGCTCGCGCGCTCCACCTCGACCGCTCTCTAGATGCGGCGGCGTCGCAGCTGCCACTGAGCCCAACCAGAGCCGCCCGCCCCGGGCGGTAGGCGGCGCCCATTCCCAAGTTATTTTGGGCGGCTGTGACTCATGGCTCGAACTGCCCGAGGCGAGCGGCGCCTGCGCATCTCAGGCTGTGCCGCGCAACCCGCTTAAGCCTACACTCACTTGCAGTGTCCTGCTGCATATATTTACACCTACTTCCATCCTCTATTTATTTTATCAGACCAATTAGATGAACTTATCAATTTTATCCTAAAATTTATTTAATCAGTAATATTGTTGTGTTTTGTATTTGTAATATTTTTACACTACTTTTATGTATGTAATAGAGCTAATTTATTCTTAGAGCTAATTTATTCTTTAGAACAAATAACATTGATATGAATAGATAATTTTATACCTTTTAACAAGTACATACTCTTTTCTAATACTGAATGAGAATGAAGAGATGATTTCTTTTTTTTTGTAAATTAATTTTAAGTTAGAAGCTGAAGAGTCATTAATATGGGCTGTTTTTTTTTCTAATACCATGCAAACGAAACATCTAAAAATTAAAAAGTTTAATGCAACATAATCATAAGAGGACTTTTATGATTGATAAAAGTTCATTAAATGAGACATACCTACTTTGTGTCAAGATCTAATTACTATTATTACTCAATTTCTCAGTCAAATAATGAAATCAAACAAAACATTTACCATTTTTTAGTTAAAAGTCTCTGTATATCTATGTAGCTATCATTGGGGTGAGAAAATCCCAAGGTAGCAAGAGGTAAGATATAGAATAAATAATTGACAAAAAACAATATCTATACAGATGTTATAAATCTGAAAAGTCTGTTGTTAAAACATGTTAATCTCTGAGCAATAGGTGAAACCGCACCTATTGCGAGTAGCTAGTACTCAATATAACTATTAAAGTGTTAAATTCTGCATGGTTAAATTTATATTTATCCCTTATTTTCAAAAGTAATGAAAATATTAGGGTATGAGACATCTGTACTGCATTTTAGTCTGATGATCAAAAAAGCTTGAATGTCAAAAGGAATGCATTTAAAACCCATTATATGGTTTCATTTTCACATAACACTAATATACAATTCATTGAATTGATCTGAACGGAATTTAGCACAGAGACAGGTCATAGTGTAAAATACAACTTAGGTTAACACTAGAAAGACCAGAGTGGTCAAATGACCCCAATGAAATTTTTGATCAATCATATTATCAAAACCATAGCACTGAACTCATTGTAGTTTTATGACTTTTAATATTTTGTCATTGTTTACATTATTCTGATATGGGTATACCGATAGCAAGATAAATACTAATTAAAAAAATATCACCTACCTAGAGAGACCGAAGTGGTCATTTGACACCACAGCGTGCTTGCTAGTTACATTTCGTGGAATATACTTGTGTTATGGGTAGTTGAAATAAAATATTTTTTTCTTGTTTTGTTCTTGTCAAAACAAAGACGTATCATGGCTCGCCATAATAATATAATGCCTCATTATCGTTCCCTTTGCCCATCAAAAATACTGGAAGTGTCGCAAAATTTACTGGACGATCAATCAGACTGTGAATCGACTGAAGAAGTGAGGCACATTTTGCATTTAGACTCAGAAAGTCAAGAAAGTGTTTATAATATTACACAAAATAGTGATTCTTTTAGGGATGATGATCCCACTCATATTCCGATTCTGATAGTAAGTGTATATTATTTTGTGTATTGATGTAAATAAAATAATATTTTTTTACATTGAGAGAAAAGGAAACATTTTATTAGCGTTTACTCCACTGTTTCAGATTCAGTAGCTCTCGACTTTACGTAGTGCAAAACCTAAGAAGAGGTCGAGTCGAGTCATATGTTTATAAAGAAATGAAAGCCGTCGACAAAATCAAAGTTCAGGCGAGTGGGTCGTATTGCGACTAATGGACCCACTGGTCGAAATGTAACTACTGATATTTTATTCACCAGTGTAAATATGACAAAAAACCTAATTGTAACACAGGACAAGTGTTTCATAATAATCTTTTGGATTTGACAGCAAATGATTCTTGGATTTTGTACAAAAAACTATCGAGAAAAAAATCAGTAGAAAAAAGTTCATTCTTGACTTGGCCAGGGAGTTAGTCGGCAATGAATCGCACTCCCTGATGACACCATCTCCTTCACAGCCCGATAATAGCATACCCACTTGCAAAAATGCAGAAATAAAACCAATAAATCGTAAAAATCGTATAAATTCGTTGTGAAAAGCTTTTGTGTGGCTCTTGTAATGTAAACAATTAAATGTCAAAAATGTGCCTAATATTTTTATGTTTTTATTACGTAATGTATGTTTAATTACTATTAAGTTCTTTTATTTACTATAAGATGTTAATCAATAAAACTTTAAACCATAATACATGAATAAAACATTATAACCCATGAATGGGTCATTTGACCCCACCTGGTCTTTATAGGTAGTTCAAAATTTCGGTCTTCCTAGTGTTAAGACACAGGTCAGGCTACTAGCAACAGTCAATAAGTTTTAAGTAAATTTAAGATCCTATGCATTGAATAAGTTTGCAATATTGACAGAAATTATACATGATTCTTAAAACTTCGATTTTTATTGATTTGACAAAATTGAAGCACATCTTGTGTCAAGCAAAAGTTCATTGTTTCAATACAGATACATAATTAGAAAATAATGTAACATTTAGTAAAGTAAAAAAAAAAAAATATCAGAAGTACATGAATCAGGTAAATGTATCAGATTAAGGAATAATAAACCTTATCGCATAGCATAGTTTGTTGTTAGATTGCTATTTTACCTTAAAACCTTAACCAACTTTTAACAGTTTTAAAAAAGGCAAACCTGTCTGTAGTAAATCTTCTATGACAAATTCAAATAATGACTGAAATTTTATCAACATTTTCTTGCCAACACTTTTTTATCTGGCACACATGTGGGTAACATAAATTACCAATTAAATCACATTATGCAACAAGATTTTTGGATTTAACTAGGTAAAATTTATAATCAAATATTTAATTATTAATAGACCATTACCTTACTTCAAATGCAATACAACATTATAGATTCTTAGTGTAAAATTATGTATTTGTAATACACATAACTAATATAAGAACAAAAAGAAGACCTGCACCTTCTTTTAGAGAAAAGTATGTTTGTTGCGTGCAAAATAAGCAAGAGACAACTTTAAGAGCTAAATAAAATAGAGATGATAGACTGATAGTATGCTTTGAAATGGGCACTACTCAGTAGTTGAATTAAAAACTGGCTTAATTAGTATTGTGGAACACTTTTACATTTTGTTCTTGACCTTGATAAGACCATTAAGTAGGTAATATTCTGGGTTAAAGTAGTTTGTAAATAATAAACTGGTAAGTGACAGCATGACAAAGTAAACAAGAGCTTAGAATTTGGATCTTATTAGATTTTTCAAGATCAACACTTTGCCGGCGCAAGGAAATTCATGTAAACTAACTAAAAATATAGTTCAACAGGTTGGAATTTCATACAATACGTGTTTTACTTGTGACACAATCCTTTATTCCAACGATCAGGTGATGGAACCACAAGTTAATAATAACTTACAAATGCGTAGTGTCTGGTTACCGAGCAAAAATCTGTAACAATCTAACTGTTTGCAATGTGATATCACGACTATCCTTGGACGGATGTCACATTTTTTAATCAACAAACGGAATGTTTACTATAAACACTACTAATAAAAAGATCATAATACAACGTGACATCGCATTAATAACTAGAAATAGACTAAAACGAAACAGATTGAATACAACTGTGGGCGGCTACGCAGAAAACTTACCTTGTGATGAAAATAATTACGTCCTCAACAAAATCCAATACTCAATAAGTGCTAGTCGAAATATTCAGTCCAAAATCACTTTATTTCCGTTACACCACGTCACTATGATTTATTATTTCACAAACAGAAACATTATTGCTGCTCGTTCCTGCCATTTTGAATTTTTAGGTAATGTTGCCATAGTCCGTATCGTAATGAACTTTTTTAACTCTAGTCATCTGTTCAACACATTGACAGTTCTTACTTAAAACCAAGCCTTTTGCTCACTAAAAATATAGTTTAACTTCCAGCGGCATTTGCATTTAAAGTCAATTCAAATTACTACAACCGAACAACTGTAGCATCGTTTTAATCGTCGCTACAAGGTATGCTCGCTTAGGTCGCTTATATGATGTTTCGTGCCTTGAAACATGTCCAGTTATATTATCAACCTAACCGCGTTGAGCAAATGCGTGATTTTTATATGGGATATGTCGGCAAACAAGCACACGTATAACCTGATGGCAACTTACCATCAGGTAATACGTGTGCTCGTTTGCCATTGTTAAGCAATCGGCGCAGCCCATGGACACCGGAACGAAAAGGAGTTATGAACTTACCGGCCTTTTGGGGATAACTTTGGAGATAAGGGTTTGGGAAAGGATGGGGGAGTTATCGGAGGCCCAGTCTCCCTCGGACTGGGCCTCCAGTAACCTCACTCATATAGCGAAACACAATGCTGTAGTTGTTTCACGCCGGTTTCCTGTGAAACCGTGGTACCACTCCGAGCCGACCCATTCGCGCCAACGACTCTTAGCTCTCCCACACAATTTCACGATTATATGTATACACGTATTTATATTTTTTTATGTTTTGTGCATCAATCATCAATCTATTGTATTGTGGATAGGGATGAGGATAAGGGTATTCATTTATTATTATAAGATCAATTTCACTGGACCTCTATGCAGATTTTCCTCTGTCTATATAGAGGAAAATCCATCTATGTAATTTTGCCGAAAACGTGTTGTTTTGCATGCGCTTATTTCTTTTCGGGTTAGATAGAATTCCTCCAGATACAGCAATTGTAATATCACGCTACAACCAACACAGAGTAGAGTATCCTTAAAAAATGTATAACGTACCTACCCGATAAAATATATAAGACTAGCTACTGTCGCACGGTTTCACCCGCTGCTCGGTTGCCTTTGATCGTAGCGTGATGTTTTATAGCCTATAGCAGTCAGGAACATTGTAGCTATCTATCAGTGAAAGATATATTTTGACTATCCAGCCAGCGGATCCAAAGATTACCCCCTACATACAATCTTACAAATTTTACCTCTTTATGATATTAGAATAGGTGTATATGTATGATTTTGAAGAAAGATAGAAATTAATTACGTTTGAATGTTGGTTGGCAGCACGAATTTCGGAGAAGACAGTATGGAATAGAAACTTCACATATTTCCTTGACACAACTTTATTTGAAATAGAACATTACTTTTATTTTCGTTAACATTTTATCTGTAGTAATATCTGTAGATTGTAGAATAAGTCTACAAAAATATTGCGCAATTCCAACTACTTATTTTTTTGATAAAACATCAGAGAGCTGATATGAACTCGTACATTTATAGTAAATTATATTTAGTAACATAAATAAAACATATCAACAAACAATTTGTACATAACATCGAATTAAAATTAAACCTTACTTATTAATATTATGTAAACACAAAAATCTAAAATATAAATAATACAATAAAATTAAATATATCTGAGTGGATTAAATTAATGAGTTTACAATCAATTGTTGACATAATAATTTAAAAATGCAAAACTGTTACATATCTTACATTTATTACACATAACAAGGTAAAAAGGATAGAGAAATCATGTAAACATTACTTAATTTGGTGAAAATAATAACATAAATGATCAGAGCACTACTAGCTTAGCCACAATGGCGCTCTTATTTATAAGTATCATAAGAGTCGTTATTTTCAATAAACTTCGTACGTCATATGATAGTGATTGCACTAAAATAAACATTTCTCTTGAATTAATTGAACATAAAATTAGAATTACAACTAAAACAAAAAATCTCGTCCAACAAGCACTATTAAAAATATTTCTCTAATCTTTTTGCCAGTTAGTAATATATTAAATTGTAGTATAGTTCAACCAAAAATATTAGCACATCATGTCTATTTCATTTAAGTTTACATAGATTAAAATATGTGGTACAGACACGCGATGAATGAATCAAAATATTTTAATAACCTTAAAATTTGCTACTCAAGAATATCGATATATCCTCTGTAAGTCGATAATTTTTATGATTGAATGACTCAATTTTAATATGCAGTGTACTCAATAAAACATACAATATAGTTAATAATATTATATAACAGAAGAGTAGGAAAAGGACATTTAGTCCATCAATGGAATACGTTCATAAATATTAACTGGTATTATTTACAACAATATCAAAGAATGCCTTTTAATACTGGGCCATTCTACTTCGAGAAAATTGAGAATTTAATCCCAGCAACCCAAACGTCTGTTTGAATCAACCTTAGAAGTTTTAACACACTTTGCCTTTTACTACTTAGTCTTAAATCTCACTTAAAACTCAACCTGTACCTGTATGAAATTAATGTATGTAATAATAGGCGGGCAACTGGAATTCCATTAAATTATCTGCATAATAAATTTAAAATATTTACTGCCTCAAGATAAAAATAAATATGAGGCACACCACATTATTTTTTTAAATAGAAATATACACGAGACGTAAATAACACCTGATTCACTATACATTTCATTTGCTAACAGTTTCAATTATTTCATAAAAACAAACCAGTCAGCTTTATAAATAAATAAATGCCTTTTTGGATTCAGGCACCCTGCAGACTGTCGTTTTACAGGTAGCCAAGAGTTTAATTGGATTTTTTAAGCATAGTCAATGTACTAATGTAAAAAGATACAATTTGGCCAGCTCTCAACTAAAAGTAGGTACCACCTTCGAAGGACGTAAACGACTAAACTACGTTATTTAGACAGACCTAGAAAGAAACACATAAGATATTAAGTCTATTAATAGTGAATCGGTTTATATTAGAATTCTACATCTAAATAGCTCAAAATATTTGGTAATAGATTATAGTAATTCACAGCATGTATCTTTTTAACTTGCATTTACGGCTTCACAGTTACCGTTTTGTTTGACGTGTACCTCATTTTTCAATGTTTTTGTTATTGCCAATTCTTTTTGCTCTTTGCGTGTGTTCCGTAATTCAAATTCAAGTCGATGACGTATTATTCGTTGAACGATATCTTCTGTTGTCATAGTGTTGCCAGAATTTAGAATCTGAAAAAAAGTAAATTAGTAATTTGAATGAGATTCCAACTAAAATCTTATATGAAAGTTTATTACAAATAAATTATTTTATTTATAATTTGTTATATTTTATCACCTTAAAGCAACCGCGTTGTTTGGGTACTTTGTAAGGATCAGATCCATCTGCATCTGAGGCTATCGTAGTGAGGCCGTGGCAGACAACTTTCACACGGAAGTGGTCCATGAGCTCCGCTGTCACGCTGTACGGCGCACCAATTACCACTTCATGAACATACTGAAAGAAAGAAGAAGGAAACAATAACACCCAGTCCATTTTACAAAAACAATGATCTAATGCAAATTGCTTCCGGGATTTAATGCAAATCTAAAAGGTGCTCCCACACAGCAGTTACATAACGTTAGAGACTGACTTTTTTAAACAAGTTATAACAAAAGTTATAAATTGTTACAAATTATAATAAATTGTTATTGATGTTATACAACTTCATTTAACAAAATGTTTTACAACTGATTAGAATATGATATTACTTTATACTCTACACTACTCTATACTCCATTATTGGTTCACTACCACCTTCCTCGAAAGACAAACCCGAACTGATTGAACATAATGTTATACGATGTTATACAACGAGTTCAACTAATTTGGGAGCGTTTATAACATATAACATTTCTTAACATGTTGTAGAGTACCTATTGTTACACGCTGTTATAAATGTCACAATGTTGTATAACGTTATATAACTGCTGTGTGGGAGCACCTTAAATCCCGGAAGGTGTGTGCTATTTCTAGGGTTAAGACTAATTATCCAGTATTAAGTTATACAGAAAAGAAATAAATCTTTTATTTGTTTTATTTAAATCAAATGTAAGTATACCAAATACTATATCATTCTTCAGCGGTTTCGCCCGTAGTACCAGGATTAAAGGTAATAATTTTATTCCATACTTATAATTTACTATTATCAACGCCGAATTTCATTACTTAGTTTTTCATTCATTCGTAATAGAGATGAAACAAACATACATCCACACATGCTTACAAACTTTCGCGTTTATAATAGGCATTAGTAAGATAGAAACTTGTGTAAACATTTTCCTTTACCAGTTTCGTTCCTGAAAATTGGGGTGAGTTATCACCACTCAACCAGTAAAGTTCGTTTAATACTATTCTCAAAACATTTACCCCCTTATTACAAAACAAGATTTAGGTATCTTTAGTCCAGGTTTAAACCCATGAGTCGGGTTTTGAATTTTGAATCTTAATGTTATGATGGTGATCAACCTTCAATTCGATACGAAAACTGGCTCAATGGTTTAGTCCTAGACTAAAGTAAAACCTTGTTTTGTAATAAGGCCGTTACTGTCTATTTACAATTTTGTATAGGATTAAGTATGATAAAATAACAAAAACATTACAAACTAGCGGCCTGCCCCCGCTTCGCACGGGTCCAACTATCTCGCTATCAAAGGGTTACTTTTTCCTAATCTCTACTTTTCTAACATTTTCTTTGATAAGAACCTTCTCCTGACAATAACAAACACAACAAAAAAAAGAATTAGCAAAATTGGTCTAGGCGTTGTTGAGTTATGCGCTTACCAACACATTTTGCGATCCATTTTTGTATATAAGATTAATATAGTACCTATAGACTTCTTTTTTTAGGGAGCAATCAGCAAATGTTTTTTTTCTCCTGGTAGCCTAGGGTGGGGCGAGGGAGAGTGTCAGACTCTTACGGACTAAAAAACACCCCGTTCCTTTTCCTGCTCCAGGCCGATCTTATTGCGCTTGGCCTGAAACCTCGGCTGAAAATCAGCCCTGTTGGGACCCATCTGC